AAAGTGGATTAAATCAGGGGCTGGCTAGTCCTGTCCAAACAACTTGGCCCACCAGATTGACCATGATATCATGAGAGAGATAAAGAACATTAGATCCTGACTTCTGATAATCTCAGTCTCCTGGAGGGAGAAGGCTGAGAGCCCACATAGACAATTGGCATGAAACCCATCTGTGCATGCCCAGGCATAACCAACCCATAAGAAGATATGATGCTGCTCTCCTTGTCTAGAGGACTTACCCTGTAAATATCTCCTCCTAACTCATTTGGGGAGCCAGATTATATTTTCCTGTCCCAAACTGGCTTCCTCATGCATGAGTCTCTTCAATAAAGTCTTGCCTGGTTCAACTACAACTAATGCTCTCTGGTGAATTCTTTCCCTAGAGGACAAAAGAGCCACTCTTGGGGCCTCCCTGGTGGCTCAAGGAGTTAAGACACAACCTATGAAGCTGTCCGCAGCCTCTGCAACATAGTTTGATCGCCAGCCAGCGAGGGAGCAACCCTCATGGCACAGCAGACCACTCTAGATTCACCTGCTGCTACTCTCAGCAGTGTATTTCAGTCAATCTGCCTGTTTTGTTCCCCACTCTGTCTCTGGTGATCCTCTCACCCCCCACAACTCTGGCCTGTACCCCAGTTCTTGTATAAATAAATCTTAAAAAAAAAAAGAGCCATTCTTTTGGACTGAGGCCCTATAACTGTGTTAGTTTGTAAAGTCTTAGGCAGCTATTAGAAAAATTCAGGACTAAGTCCAACTCACAGTAAAACAGCAAAAACCTCAAAAGCAATTAAGAGGAAGCAAATCTGATGTCTAAAAAGTTATCACTGAAACATTTCTTTCTCCACATTCACTCCAATTTTACCAAATAGTTACAATCAAACTCATTTGTAATTTAGTTCTGGTTTTGATAGCCAGGTCTTCAGCATAAGTAGATTAAGAACAAAATATACCATGTATATTTTAAAAATCTGCTTTGCTGGAACTTCTCATAGGGAATCTCAGATTAAGCTCTTTGTGAATGACTTCTCAAGGCCCAGGAACATTCCAGGTTCTCACCATCAGACTTGGCCTGTAGTACTTGTATCTATCAGTAAGTTCTTCTCTTTGAGGTTCCAAAATGTGCTGTGTTTCTGTGAGGGGTGACCTGGAACTCTAAAAGCAAGGTATCAGGTTGTTTTCTCTTTTAAGTCCCTGAGGTCATTTTAGATTCATTAAAGCAGTCTAGTCATATTTGAAAATATGACATTGTATTCCAAGCAACCATGTTCCAATTGTCATTACTGAATTGATGCAAACAGATATGTTGCCATTACAAAAACTTACTAAACTCATTTCAGGGTACCATGGAAAAGCAAATGTTTCAGTTCTGCTCAAAAAAGGATTCAGTTTATCAGTGTTGTAGATCATAGCATAGTCCAACAAAAATAAAGTTTTCTGCAGAAAGCAAAACAAAATATTTCAAACAAAAAGTCACTTAAAATGATATTTGTCCTCCAGTGTGTGCCACAGATGATAAAAGTATTGAGAGAGAGTGTGTGTGTGCTTCATTTTCTTTGGAGTTTAAAAGATTTAGGATAGGAGGTCTCATAAGGTCTCCCCAGAAGTAGGGGTATGGATGACTAATGACTCTTAACCTAAACCCAGCTATGGAAGTTTCCAGGAATCTGAGGTAGGGTTAGAAGAGATCATTATCAGGTGGGGATAGAGAATATCATCAATCATAGAAGACCAAATGAACTTGGCTCCATGGCAATAATTTGCATGATACTTTCATAGAACATTGTAAACAAACACTCCTTGCCCTGGCAAAATGCCTCTCTCCTGCCCATCTGTGTCTATGCAGGTATTTCCTTTTCTGTTTTCTCTTATCCTTTGTAAATTTTCTACCTGCTGATGAATGTGAACTGCACACACTGAAACTCATCATCGGAACCCCAAAAGGTGGAATAAAGAAACCTTGTATAACGAGCTTTAGCTTTGATTGGCTTTGTTCTAAATTGGGCAGAATCTTTGGCTACAGTGATTGTACTTCAGTGTTTTGGCAAATTTAATAGCAGTTTACATGTTTTGTCTTTATGTACATGAACTGTTTTCTTATCAACTCTGAATGTTGATGACTGGTTTGCAAAGTTGGCCAAAGACCTGGGATGTAGATAGTGAGTAGAGGGAGAGAGTTCAGCTAAATTTCAATCAGACGGGGCTGAAATAAAAAACTAAAGGCATACCAAAATCCAATTAGTCTGTGGATTTACAAGAGAACAAGAGCGTGTTAACTGATACTGTGGGATGCTTTTAACACTATGGGAAAAATCTGTGGGATGTTTCAAGACAAAGATGGGGTCTTATATTTTTGAAAAGACTTAAGAAATATAGAAGCCAATTGTGAGCATAAGATCCAAAGGATTCTATTCAAATAAACAAATTATAAAAAGCAAACCTGACAATTGGGAAAAGACTTTCACTAATTGGATATCTGATGAGATTAAGAAATTTTGAGTATGTGATAATAGTCCTCATATCTTGGGGATACGGAAGCAGATATAGATGTATATATGATGTTTAGGATTTTCCTTCAAAATAATTCAAAATGTACAGCAAGAAGAAAAAACTTTGGCCATATGTAGAAAATAGTTGAAGTACATTGGGTACACTCCATTATACTAGTCTTTTTGCTTTTGTGTTTTTTTTAAAAATGTCCATGAGGGCCTCCCCTGGTGGTGCAGCGGTTGAGTGGTGGGCTGTGAGGCTGCCCCCAGCCTCTGCAGTGACGGTTCGATCCCCGGCCGCTGGCGAGGGTCCCACAAAAAAAAAAAAAAAAAAAAAAAAAAAGTCCATGAAAGTTAATAACACAACAAACCACACTAAAGAGGAGCTGAACATGTTAGTGAATTTCATGACTCTTTAATTTGCCATAAAGTAATCTGCTCTATTTATTTTCGGGTACTGCCTAGCTCAGTGGGACTGAGCAGGAGAGAGTATAATGACTGAATGGATTTGCTGAAGAATTATCTCCATGTAATGTCACTGGGGGAAAAAACTTATTTTCTCTTCATCGATCAGTCCTAAAGACAATAGCATTTTTTTATAGGTAAATGTGTTAGCATTCACACACCTTGCTGAGATAATAGGTACTCAGGGCTTTTTCCCTGGTAGTACTAAATTCCTCCTCCTGACATGGAGTGATAGATTGAACAATAATCTTGGATGTCCTGTTGGCTCATCTTTTCCATTGTATTTCTCAGGACATCTTTTAATCCTGACTGCTTGAAAGTGAAGATGCAGGGTTGACAATTGGATGCAATTCTTTTCCAAAATACTTTAGAGCAGATCTTTTCTGAAAAACAACAGAAACAGTCAATCTGTGAATTATAGAAACTGCAGTGCTGAGACTGGTAGGGAGATAAAGTAGATCCCCAAATTGGATCATTTGAGAAAACTGCATCCTCTGAAGAAAGTCCTTCATCATCAGTAGGAGTCTATTTTTTCATTACAATGTTGCTTTATTGAGTGCTTTCTCCGATGACAGATGTTTTACTATTTTTAATTAAATAATTAATTTTTAACTGAGATGGTAAAGAGTACCCCAATCAAGCATTACTGCATTTAGTGTGCCTGCCACCAACTGACCTATCTTCTACCATCATAGACCATTGTGCTTCCTTCTCTCTTTGCTCTTACCCTTCTCCTGCCCCTCTCCCTGCTTAGTGTTTCAATTCTGTAGTCAGCTATCAAGGGTTAATTTTTAAGTTTGTCTTTATCTCACTATCATTTTAGTAATTTTATACTCCACGTATTAGTGACACTACCTGGCATTTATCTTTCTCTGCTGACTTATTTCACTTAGCATTATCCTTTCAAGCTCCATCCATGTTATCATAAATGGCATGAGTTTATCTTTTTTGATCACTGAGTAGTAACACTTTATGGACGTATACCCCATTTCTTGATCCACTCACCTGTATTTGGGCACTTAGGTTGTTTCCGTACTTTAGCTATAGTAAAGAGTACCTTAATAAACACGAGAGTGCAAGTTTCCTTTTGAATTTTTTGGATAGATACCTACAAGTGGAATTACTGGCTTGAATGGCAGATTCAGATTTATTACCTTGAAACACCTCCATACTCCTTTCCATACGGCCTGACCAGTGTGCATTCCCATCAACAGAGCAGGGGAGTTACCTTTTCTCCACATCCTCACCAGGACCTGTTGTTTCTGGTCTTTTCCATGTGGGCCATTCAAACAGGTGTGAGATGCTTATCTCACTGTGGTCTTGATTTGCAATTCTTTATTAATAAGGCATTGTGAATTTTATCTTTTATTCTTCTACTGCTTTTATATTCAGAACTTTTACTCATTTGAGAATTATGAACAGATGCACCTATATCTCCCTAATTATTGGAAATGATTTTACTTATTTTCCTATTAAGACAACTGGAATGAGTTTAGTCAGTGATGCTACGGCTGCAGTTATTTTTCAGCCAAATGTTCAATGTTAATCATTGAGCCAACTAAACAGCTGACTCAGCTTTGATCCTTTGACCTTTAATGAAAACATGTGATCCAGTAAAATATTAAACAGATACATGTTTACATATGAGCTCTTTATTTCATTTCAATAGTCACATTGATTTTAAATGAAAAATTAAAATTAAACTGCAGGAGCAAAATAATTTTAATGTCAATTGACACTAAATTTTATATTGTAGATAGCAAAAATTACAAAGAAAAGAAATCTCAACATTTACAAATCATGAGGCCAGCTTTCTGTTGTCCCTTTGTAATGCAGACTACCACAGCAAACAATCCACTAATAGCTTTAACTTTGAAATTTCAGTTTTTTCAGGGTTCATCTAATTCATTGCATCTACTGTAAGCACAGTCTACTCATTTTTATCACCAAACTTTTTATAATGAACATTGCAAGAGAAGCACAAATTAAGATGTATATAAAATAGCTTTTTGTACTTAGCAGATTCTGTGAGCTTATTTTGCACTGACTTTAGCCTTCATTTATATCCCAGATGAACTTCAAAGTGGAACCTTTCATCTTCCTTTGGAATATTCTGTCAAATCTTTCATTTTGTTTCACAGTCAAGTGATTTTTCCAGTCTCCAATGGTACCTAGTGGAGAAATGAAACACATGAACAACACCTGATTGAGAAGCAGCATTATCAGGGTAAATGTTTCCATCAACCCCTCTAATCTCTTCTCCAAATCAAGCTAAATACCTATTACTTCTCATGGGTTTGATACTTTGCTTTTCCTCACACATTTATTAGCTAAGAAATGAATTTAGGAATGCATAAGAAAATATTTATAGTCAAATTCCTTATCTCTTAGTCTTCTATCAACTACCGCTATTCAATTATAACCTTTCTCATCAGGAAAACCAAAACTAAAATATATGGGCAGATTAATATTTTAAAATACATTGTACTAAATGTGAAGCATCATATATGGCAAATTATCACTATCCTAAGATATACTCTTTAATACAAACATACAAGGTAGGTATTTCTCCAATTTTGAAATTGTAAAAACAAGACATTTTCATGTAGTGAAGTCAAGATCACAGAGGGTGCCCAGATCTACCATTTCTGCCATTTTACTTGAAAGATGTTTAAAATCAACATAGAATCAAGTTTTTAAATGAAAATAAACAATTTGGCAACTTCAACAACAATCGTTTCTTGTGTAGGGGGCCTCCCTGGTGGTGTAGAGATTAAACCTTGGCACTATCACACTATCACCACTGTGGCCTGAGTTCAATCCCTGGCCAGGGAGTTAACCCACATGGTGCAGCAGACCTTTCCTGTCTTGCCCACTGCTCCCCTTAGCAGAGTATTTCAGTCAATCTACATGTTCTTCTCCCCACTCTGTGTCTGGTGAATCCTTACCCTCTGCACCTCTGACCTACAGCCCAGTTCTTCTGTGCATAAATCAATAAATAAATCTTTGAAAAAATGTTTCTTGTGTGAACATTAATAGCATTAGTAAGTTCTCATGAAAAATGCCTTATATTTGACCTAGTTAAACAAGAAGAAAGAGGGCCTCCCCTCGTGGCGCAGCAGTTTAGCGCTGGGCTGCGAAGCTGCCTGCAGCCCCTGCAGTGCCAGTATGATGCCCGGCCGCTGGCAAGGGTCCCACATGGAGCGCAGACCTCTCCTGCAAGAGCTGGGCTACAGGCGGGAGATGTCGGGGGTCTGGGGGTGGTGAGAGGATTCACCAGAGACAGAGTGGGGAACAGAACAGGCAGACTGACTGAAATACACTGCTGAGGGAAGCAGTTGGCAAGTCAGGAGAAGTCTGCTGCACCATGTGGATTGCTCCCTGGCTGGCTGGGGTTTGAATTCGTGATGCAGAGGCTGTGGATTGCTTCATAGTGCGTTGCTTATCCCCTTGCACCACCAGGGAGGCACAAAACATTATTTTTTAAACACTGATATCTAGAAAAATTTCAATGAGATCTCCACACAATTATGTATTAATCAATGTACATCATAATAAATATTATGAAAACATTAACGTATAAAATATGTATGAATAAAATAGAGCTTAGATTATGCTTCTTTCAGAATGATGTATATTCAAAGGTTAAATTAAACAATTTTATTATTTAAGGAACAGTAGTTGGAAAATATATTCTTTCTTAATGCTGGATATATTACACGAGCACAATAAAAAGTCATTGCATGCTATTGAATAATAAAATTCATAGCAGATTGGGTGAATGAGAGATCAATCTACCCTTGGCACTCAAGAAATTTGACACATGAAGAAATAAACCAAATGACCTCTCCCACACAAAATATATATTAAGTAAATTTCTAGAATTTTCTAGGAAAACTTGAAGCTCTCCTGGTTATATATATCCACTTCTTCAGGTAAGACTAGCAAACAAATTTTAAAGTATCAGGTCATGTGAGCTAGAAGGTGATGAACATTTATTTGGCAGGTTCAGGTGTCAGGCTCTATACTGAAAAATGGTTTCAGAATCCAGGGATACTTTCAGGACCATTTACAATTAGTATCTTTGACTCTCTGGGCCTAAATGGCATACTTGGAGAGGTATGTTGGAAATACTCCGTATGTAGTATAGTGAACAATATAAGCGAAAATTCAACACTTTTGCTTCTATAAACCACCAAGCATCACCTTTGCGCATGAAATGTCCCTCATCTGTTCTTGTTCCAATTTCGTTTTTCAGTATAGCCTTATAATTTGCTCGTGGATCAGACTTCATATTCTGAAAAGTAGCCTGGTTCACAATAGCATCTATGTCGTCTTCATTCAGGTCTTTCTCAACAAATCTGCTGATTTTATACACAGAACTTCTGAGATCCTGAAAAAATTGTGAGTATAAGTAACTATTCATCTCATAAGGAATGGATCTGCTACAGCCTAACATCTTTATCTCTCTTTGGAAAAGTGAAAGTTTTTGATCTTATTTTAAACCTCAAATTTGAAAAGGATAGATTACTTCCTCATTCTCTCTATAAAAATCAGTCTTTTGGGTGTTGATTTTTAGAACTTCCTATTACTTGAATTTATAAACACAATTCATCTTCATTCATTCATTTATACGTACATTCATTCATAGATGTTTTAGAAAATGTGCTTAGGTGGCGCAAAAATTTAAGAGAAAAATAACATTTTATCTGTGTTTGTTAAGAGTTCAAAATTTCATTTGGAAAATAGATACAGATATTTATTGGCTTATAATAAATTGGGATTATGTCCAAATAAGCACATCATAAATTGAAAACATTATAAGTGAAAATGTATTTAATACACCTAATGTACCAGACATTATATCTTAGCTAAACCTAATTTAAATATACTCAGAAAACTTACATTGATCTACATTCGGGTGTAGGAATAAAGAAAAATATATTATATAATAAAATATTGAATTTCTCATGTAATTTATTTAATACTGTATTGAAAGTAAAAAATAAAATGCCCTATTTCAAAATTCCTAACACAGTTTCTACAGACACATATTGCTTTTGCAACATCATACAGTTAAAATTGTTGTCAAATCATTATAAATTAGATACTATTTTTAATTAAACACAATTGACCCTACAAAGAAAAGCCCAATTTGGATGCCTTCTGGTGATTTTTGCCAAATATTTAAAGGACGATTAACACCAATCATCCCCCAAAAGTTCAAAAACTTGAAGAGAGGAAATAGGTCTAAAATCGTTCTGTAAGACCAGAATTACCCTAATGTCAAAGCTAACCAAAAACACTGTAAGTAAATGAAAGGCCAAGTTCATTCCTCAAGTAATGACTAGAAAACAAATTAAATTCAACACCACATTAAAAGCTTTATATATAATAATCAAGAGAGATTTACTCCTGGAGTGCAAAGATGATCAGCATACGAAAATTGACCAATGTGTTAGTCCCCACATTTACAGAATGAAGGAAAAGTAAGTGCATGACCATCTCAATCCAGTCTATGAAAGTACTTCTCAATATCTAACACTTTGTCATGATAAAAACATTCCATCAACTCAAAATAGAGGGGAATTGCCACATTAAAGTCATATATGAAATATGTACTTTGAACATCAAAAGTAGTGGTGAAAGACTGAAACATTTTCAGCTAAAGTCAGGAACAATCCAAAGATGTTTATCCTCCTCCTATCTTCTCAACATAGTACTGGGAACCTTAGAGCAATTAGGCAAGGGAAAAAAAATTGAAAGGGATCCAAACTGAAAAAGAACAGGTGAAATTATTACTGCTTATAGACATGATTTTAGATCTAGAAATAAATCCCACCAAAAAATGTTAGCAGAAACAAATTTGGCAAAGTTGTGGGTACAAAACTAACATAAAAATTGTAAAATGGTTATAGATATTTTAGCACAACAAATGCATTGAGATGTTGGGAAAACTGGGAACAAATAGACCTTCTGCAGTGAGAACTCAAAGGAAGGAGAAATGAATATTACCTTGGAGCAATTAGAGCAATTTTCAGGAAGAAAAAACTTTTCCTATTCAGAAGGAAGGATAGGAAATGCTCTGGGAAAACATAAGAATTTCCATCTAGAGGTAAAGTTCCAAAACCAGTAACTTGAAAAGCCTTCCATAGTCAAGGAGATTTGACACTGGGTTCCAGTGTGCTTGGTGCTTGACAGACTCACAAGAAAATAACTGCACCTCATAATACACTTCATGTCACTACATTTGATAGACATTTTCATTTCCCATCTCAACAGCCTCAGAGATCTCAGATCGTATAGATGTTTCTTCACATGCTCGCTTTGCTTCTATGTCACTACGCAATCCGTGTTTTGCTTTTCTCTCTCTGTGTCTGTTTCCTTGCAGGGCTCATCCCTTTCTACTCAAACTTTATAAAATGTTTAGTGGCATTAATGGTATTGTATTTTATTAAGGTAGCATTGGTTGACAACACTGCACGTGATTTAGAGATACAGATGCAAACCTCTTTAGATGTATATAACCACACCACGCTTTTGTAGCACCAAAAATCCTCCCCCATAGTCCTGGGCTCCCCCACCTTTTTTTTTGCTCCCCATCCCCACTTCTTCCTTCTAGTAGCCTCAATTTTGCAGTCAGATTTCTAGGGTTGGATTTGGTAAGGTTTGTTAGTAAGAAATTCTAGTTCCCCTTCTCTTCTCCATCCAGGCCGATGCCGACTTCCTTTCCTTCTCATTTCCCATCTCTGAACCCCTCTTTGCATTCTAAGTGTTACCCATGTTCACAGTTTCAGTTATACTCCAAATATGAAAAAACCCAAATTAAAATCATTGATATACTTAGTGCAAACATTTTCATATAGCTCTATATATACATATTATCCACATGTTTTCATTCAGATGCTTTTAAATTATCTTAAACCCCATAGGTCAAAGCCGAACTCATCCTAGTCTCATTCTGGCCTTACCCTGCTTCAGTGTTTCCTAAACACCTTCACAAATGACCTCATTTTACATAGATATTCGTGAGCCAGACAAATGCGAAGCTTCCTTAACCCTGCTCTCTTTCTCATTCTTCCTATATATATAATTCTTTTCCTTTTTACTTCCTAAACTTATTTAAAGGTATTTAAAACTGCATTCTCTCCAATCCCAGTAACACCAATCTACTCCAAAGTACAACTGATTTTTAATAGATTAACACACTGGTCTCCCTCTATCTTGCCTGTGTTCACTATTACTACCTTTAACCCACTAAAGGGAATGATATTCTAATAATATTAATTCTTCACATTACTATCCTTTCTTATAACTCTTAAAATGCTTGATATTAAAGAAATCACTATATTAACATAGTCTATAGACTTTACTTAATAACAGTTAAAACAGATTTAAATGATATAGACTTGCTTGGCTAATACCTGTGAGATTTAAGCTGTATGAATAAAGCCTTCAGTTCTTTTTCTCATGATTTAGTGATAGTCATATAATATATATTAAATAATTTTTGATTAGTCAATTATATATTGATTTGCAATACAAACAGTGAACTGTAAATGTGCTTTGTTTCATTTGGTTTGTTTATATAGTTTGTTAAGACAGCTTTGATTGGATACAAACATGTAATCATTATGTGATTTCACCTGAAAGCTGTGTTTCAAATAAACTCATGCAATTTGCAGCAACATGGATGGAGCTGGAAGGGATCGTGCTCAGCGAAATAAACCAGAAAGAAAAAGGAAAATACCGGATGGTCTCACTCATAGCAGGAATTTAGAAAACCTAAATAAGGGACCAGGAAAAAAACTAATTATAATAAAGTAAAATTAAAAATCAACAAGCAACAATAAACCAGAGATACACTGGGGGGGAGGGGAGGAGAGGATTAGATTCAAAACGGGGGAGGGGGGGAATTGTATGGGAAATATAACCAAGATTAAAATGCATGTATTGTGTAAAAATTAAAAATGATGTAAAATATATATAAAATAAAATATTAAATAAATAAAAAGAGAAGAACTTGATTCACAGGGCACATAATTTCCTCTCGCTAATTAGTCATTTCATAGTGACTTTATCACCCACGCTGTGTAGTGTCCTTTCTTATATAAGCTACAGCTGCTCTAGATCTTTTAGTTTGATCTATTGTTTCAGATGGCTACATAAAAACAAAGCACAAAAGATGACTGTACAGAGAGAAGAGTGTCCTAAAGAATAGTAATTAAGAGGTGGGCAGGAAATTATGAATCAGAAAAAGTAGTTTGAGAACAAATTAGTTATTAAGATAAATAGGAGAACATGGGTAATTGAAAGTAAGAAAGGAAGGATTCCAAAGGAGTTTATAAAACAACCTTCTTTTTTTTTTTTTCTTAAAGATTTATTTATTTATTTATACAAGCACTGGGTACAGTCAGAAGCACAGGAGGGTGAGTGAATTCACCAGAGCCAGAGGAGGGAGCAGAACAGGCAGAGTGACGAAGTACACTGCTGAGGGGAGCAGCGGGCGGCAGGAGAGGTCTGCGCGCCATGTGGGACCCTCGCCTGGTGGCCGGGGATCGAACTGGCGCAGCAGAGGCTGCGGGCAGCTTTGCAACCCAGCGCTCAACCGCTGTGCCACCGGGGAGGCCCTAAAACAAACTTCTCACCTTCTTCATCTCCTCATACATCATGAACAGAATATTGAAGTCATGTCTGTGCTCATACCAGCCTCTGATGTGATCAAACCAAACACTTCCTACCACTGTGGGGAAAATTAATAATAAGGTAAATATGTTGCACTTGCATAAGAGTAAATTATAGTCTTTCTTTTCTCTCCTGGATTCCTCAGAAAGAAAAGTTACCACCACTAGACCATCATGCTGCCTTTTTAAAATTGTATTTTGGAGGAACTGTTACACAATTTAACAGCAACCTGACTTTGGAACTTAGGCTATGTCTGTCAGAATGCAGCAATACAAAAGAAGCCGTCCCCAAAACAAATTTTGATCATTTCTTTTACGTAAGTATTCCTTTCTTACTTCTTCCACATGAAAAATAAGTTTTCATGTCTCCCTTTATTGTCTATTGTTTACATTTGTTTTTCTTCAAAAGTTTACTCATAGAAAGCACTTTAAAATCAGATTTTTAAAATTCAAGGCAAAAACTAAAAAATTACCATCTTAATAATCTCACCCTAAAATGTCCTCTGAGTTAAAGTCTTTATACATAGAATGCATAATTGTGGATTTTTTTTAAAAAAAAAAACACAAACTGTGGACAAATATTTCAATGAACATCAATGGATTTTAAGATCTCTGGTTAACAACATACAATGCCTGCCACAGATCAATGACAGAATACAAAATAGACACCCACCCTTGACATTCACTATTCTGGAACACATGATTTAGTTTTGGATCTAACTCATTTAAATTGCTAGTTGGTTTGTCATTCTCTTGTGATCTGTCACAATATGTCTTTGCAATCATGACAACTCCCAAAGGGGTCTTTGTGGAGACAGGAGGCCATGAAGTGGTAAATAACGTTGACATACAATAGTAACATACTCATTCCACCTTCTATCATTAACCTCCCTTGTCCTAAATTACGTTTCCTAAGTTTGAAAATTTGATTAAATGAATATATTGTCTCATAAACATGTTGCTTAATAAACACACGGTTACCTTTTCCATCCAAAAATCTTTCCATGTAACTTTCCAAGTCTTGTGCTTCTTCGAGTCTTACCACCACGTTTGAAAAATGATAAAATGAGATCAAAACATCTTTGGGGTTTCTGTAGACATAAATAATCTGCAGAGAATGTAATGAAATAATATTAGAAATTCTTAATTATGCATTCAGGTTTGTTAAACACCTATATAATACTGAATTTTCTGATTGTATGATGATTTATTTCATGCAGTGCACCACTCTTGGAAATTTTGGTTGGTCGCAATTTTTTGCAAGTGCAAAATTGTTGTAAGAGATAAATTTACTCACATGACATTTCACATATGCAAGCATAAATAACAAATTCCTAATAGTTAAATTACTTTTTTGTAGAACTGATTAACATTAAAAATTACCTTCCATAGAAACCGTTTCAACCTATCATCTGTATCAGCTTGATTTACAGCCAAGATATCATTGAGGATTAGTGAATAAGGGGAAAATTACTTAATGGGTGATGCAGAAACAGATAATTGTCCACACAGAAGAAAAATGAAAATGTATTTCTACCTCATGCTATACACAAAAATAATTTACAAATGGATTAAGGATTTAAATATGAAAGCAAACCTTGATACGAAACTGTAAAGAATATATTTTTGGTGTTGGCATTTCTAGAGATTACCTAAATAAGAATAACATATAAATTTAACTGGGTTACATTAATTTAAAATTAATTGGGTAACATTCAATTTAAAGGATGTTGCTAATCATAATATACCATAAAGCTTTAAAAAAAAGCACAAAATGAGAAGAGAGAAACTAGATCCACCTATAACCAATAATAAATTAGTGTCCCAAATACACATAAAATCACTCAATAAAAAACGACATTCTAATAAGAATTTGGGTCAAAGACAATAATTTCATTGAGTGAGAATCAATTATTGGCAATAAATATCAAAAAGCATTTAATCTCATTAATGATTAGGGCAATGCAAATTAAGATCAGCTTGAGTTTTTTTTTTTTTTTCAAAGATTTATTTATTTATGCATACAAGAACTGGGATACAGGCCAGAGGTGCAGGGAGGGGTGGGGGAGGATTCACCAGAGGCAGAGTGGGGAATGGAACAGGCAGACTGACTGAAATACACTGCTGAGGGGAGCAGGGGGTGAGACAGGAGAGGTCTGCTGCTCCACATGGGTAGCTCCCTGGTCCAGGTGGGATTGAACTTGTGCTTCAGAGGCTGTGGAGGCTGTGGATAGCTTCACAGTGCTGTGCTTAACCCCTTGTGCCACCAGGGAGGCCCTGGGGTATCTTTTTATAAATACCAGGGCCTACCCGTTGGCACAGTGGGTTGAGCGCAGCACTGTGAAGCTGTCTGCAGCCTCTGCAGCATGGGTTCAATTCCCAGCCAGCCGGCCAGGGAGATACCCATATGGCGTGGCAGACCTCTCCTGCCTTGCCCACTGGCTGCTCCCCTCAGCAGTGTCTTTGGTCCGTCTGCCTTTTCTGCTCCCCACTCTGTCTCTGGTGAATCCTCTTACCCTCCCATGCCTCTGGCCTGTACCCAGTTCTTGTATAAATAAAAATAAATCTTTAAAAAAAATAAATACAAGATTGATAAAATTTAAAATTCAATAGGAAAAATTACTAGAAGCAAAAGTAGTTTAGCATAAACTACTACTACTACTCCTTTTTTAAAAAGTAACATCATCTTAAATATTTGAATACTTTTCTATTGTGTAGCTTTGTAATTCTATTGCCAGGTGGTAATTTTAGGGATCCTTGGGGAGATGTGCACCAGGCATGTAGTCAGAATTGTTCATAGCAGCATGTATTATAATAATAAAGCACGGGATGCCCAAATTATTTAAAAAGGAAAGCACAGAATAATGTAATTAATTATAAAATTTATAAATTATACATCAGTAGAAAATAATGTTGAAAATCAAGAGCAAACAAAAGCGTAGGTAAAACCCCAGGGAAAAAGAAAACAAGTGTCAAAGTTAAGTGAAATTCAGATAAATGATTCAACAGAATAACATATAGTTTCTTGGCAATCATCATAATGACAGGAATAAAAAGATGAACACAAATAAAGCATGGAGAAATAATTCATTTACATAAAATTAGAAATCCATGAATTAGAAAACATTAACTTATGATTTTACAAAAGAAACTAGTTCTTTGGACCAAAAAAAACAATGTAATAGAAAACTTCTGATTACCTTAAAAGTATAAATGGAGCACACTGCCTTTTTCTTTTCTTTTCTTTTCTTTTCTTTAAAGATTATTTATTTATACAAGCACTGGGTACAGTCAGAAGCACGGGAGGGTGAGAGAATTCACCAGAGCCAGAGCGGGGAGCAGAGCAGGCAGAAGGACCGAAGTACACTGCTGAGGGGAGCAGCGGGCGGCAGGAGAGGTCTGCGCGCCATGTGGGACCCTCCTCCAGTGGCCGGGGAGCAGCTGGGCATCGAACCGGCGCTGCAGAGGCTGCAGGCAGCTTCGCAACCCAGCGCTCAACCGCTGCGCCACCAGGGAGGCCCAACTGCCTTTTTCATTATTATAAGTGAATGAAAAATTTGCAATTATTTAATTGGAGAATATTTATCAGATCATGAAAGAACATTTTGTAAAGTCAGTGTTCTGAACTTAAAATAAGTTGGGGAAATTAACTTTGAAAATTACAATACTGGTTTAGGAAATGGCAGCCAATTTTATTTTTTTCCAAATTTCCTGTATTTTTTGTGCTGAACAACTGAATGTAAAAGAATCAGGTGGGGCCTCCCCGGTGGCGCAGCGGTTGAGCGCTGGGTTGCGAAGCTGGCGAAGCTGCCGCAGCGTCTGCGGCACCGGTTCGATCCCCCGGCTGCTCCCCGGCCACCGGAGGAGGGTCCCACATGGCGCGCAGACCTCTCCTGCCGCCCGCTGCTCCCCTCAGCAGTGTACTTCGGTCCTTCTGCCTGCTCTGCTCCCAGCTCTGGCTCTGGTGAATTCTCTCACCCTCCCGCGCTTCTGACTGTACCCAGTGCATGTATAAACAAAAACAAACAAACAAATAAATAAATAAATAAGCATGCCTCTATTAAAAAAAAAAAAATAAAATAAAAGAATCAGGTGTATGATTTTAGACATCTACTATATTGGGGGGAAAGCTTACAAGTTATTCAAAACTTAACAGCATCAGATACTAAATATTTACATATTAGGAGGTCAGTACTCAACTTTTTTTTCATTTTAAAAATTGTTTAACTTTTATTTATTTGGGGATTACATTTTTGCTCTTCCATGTGGATACATTTGCACTCACCCTTCACCAAACCACCTTTGCCAGTACTTCCTCTTCCTCCTTTTCCATAACCTCCTCCCTCCCCCATGTTTCTTCTGGCAACCACTAAATTCTTTCACAGTATTCATTATTAATTTAATGGAAGGAGTTAGATTTGGACAATGTTACCTTGTTTCATGAGACATTAGCTAGGAAAGATGGGAGGGGAGAGTATCCTGTTAAAGAAACATGGAAATCAACATCACTTGCCATCAGGGAAATGCAAATCAAAACTACCATGAGATACCATCTTACACCAGTGAGAATGGCACATATTAAAAAAACTAGCAACAACAAATGTTGGTGAGGACGTGGAGAAAAAGGAACTCTCCTGCACTGTTGGTGGGAGTGCAAACTGGTCCAACCACTATGGAGAGCTGTGTGGAGATTTCTTGACCTACTTACTAAACATAGAGCTTCCATATGATCCAGCAATTCCATTCCTAGGTATTTACCCAAAGGACACAGAAACATCAATTCCAAAGAACACCTGCACCCCTATGTTTATAGCAGCACTGTTTACAATAGCTAAGCTTTGGAAACAACCCAAATGCCCAAAAATAGATGACTGGATCAAGAAGATGTGGTACATATGCACCATGGAATATTACTCAGCAATCAAAAAAAGATAAACACATGCAATTTGCAGCAACATGGATGGTGCTGGAAGGGATCATGCTCAGCAAAATAAGCCAGAAAGAAAAAGAAAAACACCGGATGGTCTCACTCATAGCAGGAATCTAGAAAACCTAAATAAGGGACCAGGAAAAAGAATAACTATAAGAAAGAAAAAATCAAAATCAACAAACAACTATGAACCAGAACACTATGGGGGGTGGGCAGGGAAAGGGGGGATTGGGGTCAAAATAAGGGGGTTGCAACAATTGCATGGGGAATATAAAAATAAAATTTAAAAAAAGAAACATGGAAATCAAAACAGTTTCATTTTCATTGTGATGTGAAATTCACATTGAAATGAATGCTGTGAAGGAATGAATCCTGACTCACTGTAGGGTAAGGAAAATGTCAGGCTTTTCTGCCCTCCCACCATCAGGATAGATGATGGATCCTTGTGGTCCTGAATGCATGCCTGAGGGCAGGCACCTGGAGTAGGGTGTGGGCAGAGGTAGATGGGATTCACCTGGGCTGAGACTGGGCTTTTAAGGGAGGCGTCACGGGGGGGACACCAGCAGCAGCCGAAAGAGAAGCTAAAAGAGAAGCTGAGCAGCATCAGAAGCCCAGGGAGAGAGAGAAGGTCAGAGAGCCCAGAGTGAAGACTTTCTGGGGGCTGGGAGGCTGGCACCCCTGCCTGCCATATGCCTGGTGAACCCCAATAAAAAACCTGCAAAAACCACTGAGGACTCTGACTCCTCCATTACCCGGTCTGCTGGATCATAGAAAACCTGCACTGGTCCATTCCTGACCTTACACTCATTCAGTGGAGAATTGGGGGAGAAGGATATGTAGCGACTCCCAGATGGATAGACTTGTCCACACAGCCCACTCCCAAGCCAACAAAAATCAGTCTCCATCTCTGAAGGGATTTAAATTCACTTCTAAAGTGGAGTAATCTGGGGAATAGGGCACAGCAAGAGGTCAGAAGAGAAAAGCATCATCAGTAGCAAAATACTAATAGGGGAGAAGGTAGTTAAGTCCAAAGGTTTATCCTGGAGACAAAAGAACACCAACAGATCAAAAAGAACTATTATCCATTTCCTGATACTTAGGGTCACTTGGGGCCCACACTTACCCCCTGCTCCCCTATTCCCAGCAATGAACTCTAGACTCCCCTGAGTCTTATCATTTAGCACTATAGTAGGGTAAGGGAAAATGTCAGGCTTTTCTGCCCTCCCGCCATCAGGATAGATGATGGATCCTGCGGTCCTGATGGCGGGCACCTGGAGTAGGGTGTGGGCATAGGTAGATGGGATTCACCTGGCTGAGACTGGGCTTTTAAGGGCAGCATCATGGGGACGCCAGTAGAAGCCGAAAGAGAAGCCGAGAAGCAGAGAGAACGCCAGAGAGCCCTGATACATGAGGATTTGCTGGGGGCTGGGAGGACTGCCAGCCTCCCGGCCCCCCAGTGCCCCTGCCTGCCATATGCCTGGTAAACCCCAATAAAAGCCTTCAAAAAGCCACTGAGGACTCTGACTCCTCCTTTACCCGGTCTGCTGGATCATAGAAAACCTGCACTGTGGCCATTCCTGGCCTTTACAAGCACCAAGTCCTAGGATAGCAGAGCTGCCTAGAGTGCTATGGAAGCAGTGAGCCTGCAGTGGGTATGGGGGTCCAGGTTACTGGTGCCCTCCTCTGGCCTCAGGCAGCCTCTGCTGTTTGGCTCATTGTGCCATAGAAGTATTACCTGGCAATTCCCATAGGAAACAGGTTGGACATGGCCTCTTTGGCTAATGCTCTATAGTGGCCATCTGTAACTCCTTAGTAAATTTTCAATAAGGGGCGCTGCAAATTATTTAGCTGATCCTGAGCACAAACAAGAAAAAGGGGAAAGACAGAAGACATTCAAGGGTCAAACAACCTCAGAACAGTACAGCGGGAGACAGTGCTAAACTGGGCTCCAGGGTATGGGGAGCAACAAAACTAAATGAACCAAAGTTTGAGAAAATTGAAAACTCAGAGTGGGTATCTTCTACCAGGTATCCTAGAGTGCCCTTTGCCATAAAACAGTGTTTCAAGTAAAGCAATTCAGAGGTGGGTAAGCTGGAGGCAGAGATAGCTAATGTGAGTCCAAACGTAAGGAGGATTCAGGTATAAAAATGGGGGGACACACAAAAGAAACAGAGTTTGGTCAATGAGCCGCAAGAGCTACCAACCTTGCTACATGTCTGACTGGGACCAAAAACTTGGCCTTAGACGGACCAGGGGTACCATTTTTCGTTTAGTGTTTCAGGGGCAACATTTCAAAGTTTACTTTTGGTTTATTGGCAAAAAAGGGAAAACTTCAGTTTCAGGTTAAGTCTATGGATTGCCCATAATTCCCTCTGTCAAGGAAAAGGATTCTCCAGCATAACCATCCAGCCTCAACTACCTGCGGGCTTGCAGTAACTACCACCTTTCTCAAATCCAGTCACTCAAAAAATGCTTTCCTGACAAATGTCCCAAAAGTTCATTTAACAAGCTGGGTTGAGATGGTGACCATCTGGTGGTCACTTGTACAAATCCCTTCCTGTTCACAGTCACCCCCAAAAAGTCATGTGCTCCAACTCAGAGCTGCATCAATTTAGAGCTGGGGGAGGGGAAGCAGGTCCAACAGGAGGGTCCTTTGGTTTGCCGCTACACCTTACTACAGCTGCCCAAGTTTAGGAAGGATGGGAACATTTGCGAAAACTTGTGACTTGATCCACCAACCCAAACCAGTCCCCATTCTACTCCACCACAGGACAGAAATGGAATGAAAAGCGTAAGAATTTCACAGCTTCAGCTTTCTAGAATTTACATCCACTTGCCGAACCTTGGTTTATTCTGCAAGGGAATACCTGAAGAGGAAGAAAAGAATGTGTTTAAAGACTTGACACATTCTCCCCTGGTTCTATCCACTTCCCAAATCTCTGACCAGGATTGTCCGTGGAATATAGTTATAAGCTGGGGAGAAACTCATTTTCCTGAAGTCTCTTACCCCAGAGATGCTGGGTAAAACGCATGCAAAACAATAAATAAATAAATATTAATGTCCAAATGGGCTTTGTGAGTTCGTTAAAACTACCTGCGTGTATAACAGCAGGGATGCTGTTGAGTCCCACCATGAGCAGTGTCAAGGCCAAGGCCAGGGACTCCTAGCGCTCACCTGAGCAAGGTGAGGCCGTATAAGGTGCTGAGGTGTCACCCTGTGAATATGTGAGATGTGAAGGCTTTTTCCCTCAAGCCTTCTTTGGCCAAGACTCCCTCAAAAACCAACCATCCCCCATGAACTGGGCAGGCATGTTCCCAGTCACTTAGGGAAGGTCCAAACCAGCTGTCATCCAATAGAGCCCCCTGGCGCTGATGCAGAGAAAATAAGGATCAATCCAGCAGGTCAAAGGTGAGCTACCAAAGCTCTGGCCAGTTAGCACAAAGTAAACGGGTTACCTGACTGGAAAAGACAGTCTGCAAACCTGCTACACACCACCAGGTACTTGGGCCCTTTAAACCGAAAGCACTCACAGTCCACCACTCACCACCTCATGGGGTCTCTCATCCACACGCTAGGTCAAACAGACTTCTAAGCGAGAGACTGGATGTAAATTAACACAAGGATGCTGCTGTCAGACATCCCCATCTCTCCATCAGAAAACTCAGGGTTGATAGGGGTGGCCAGAACAATTGATGACTACATCAGAGTGTCCTCTTTGTCCCACAGGGATGGCCTTATGTCCCAGGCCATCACTCCATAAGATGCACTTTTGGAGTTGAGGGAAAAGAGAAATCTTTCCTGGCCATCCAGACTGCCACTTCTGGCAGCACTACTGGACACCTCTTCTGGCTAGCAAGGATTCATCTCAAAGCTTAAAGATGAAGCTAAACAGAAACTTTTGTCCTTTGTTTGGATCTAACTGCCAAAAAATTTTACTGTTCAATTGGCAATTTAGAGCCCATGAACAAGCAGGCACCTTCATCCCTGAAGCTTTTTCCCTGCTGAGAGCGAGGAGTGGAGCCTGAGGTGAGTTGCCTTGCTGACCTGTCTGTTCTGAAACCCTACATTCCCAAACTCTCTCTCTCTCTTAGCTGGCTGGCCCATGGGCGGTCTGACAGCCAATTTAAAAAAAAAAACTATGAAACAATAAAAATGCTGTAGAGATACAAAGTTCACAGGCTGGGATATTTTTAAAATGGATATCAATAAACTACAAAATTTGTTAATAAATCTTTAAACTATTTAGTAACTTAGCAAAAACACACAAAGCTTCAAAAATTTGTCTTAACACAAATAGAATTACAGAGATACTAAAATCAAATAAAGATAGAACTATCATAGAAAATATGTTTCATAATAGTTATAGATAAAAATTGAACAAATAACAGACCTGTTTCAGTACTGTTAAAATAACTATTACTTTATAAGCCAGTAAGATTTATTCCAGAAATAGAACATTATTAAAATAATTGTGGATTTCATTTCACCATAAGGGGGAAGGGGAACAGAGCGTCCTCCAAGTTGCCCAAAATGGCATCTGTGTGATTAGACTTTTTCTGAATATTGAATAAGGTATGTTTGTAATCCATTTCTATACTTACTTTAACTTTTTTGTTCTTGAAACCTTTTGGCACTAAGTAATAAGGCAGGTGAGTACAAAAGAGCCTGGGGGAGGGTCTGTTGAGATAGTTGACTTTCCTTATGTTGTATTCAAGAAATGGGACTCGATCTAATGTCTCCATGGTTTCAGTTCTCTTGCGGTGTTTCTCAAAGTAAATCAAGCTTAATATCTGCTGAGTCCAGATGGTACCTGTAAAAATAAATAAATGTGTGTGAATGCAAATTAATTTCTAATAATAGGGCCTCCCTGGTGGCACAGCGGTTGAGCGCTGGGTTGCGAAGCTGCCCGCAGCCTCTGCGGTGCCGGTTCGATCCCCGGCTGTGCCCCGGCCACCGGAAGAGGGTCCCACAAGGCGCGCAGACCTCTCCTGCCGCCCGCTGCTCCCCTCAGCAGTGTACTTTGGTCCTTCTGCCTGCTCTGCTCCCGGCTCTGGTGAATTCTCTCACCCTCCCACGCTTCTGACTGTACCCAGTGCTTGTATGTATCAACAAACAAATAAATAAAAATCTTAAAAAAAAAGAAATTTCTAATAATAAATGTCCAAACTAATGACATACTCCAAAAGTATTTGGAATTTTTTTTAAAGATTTATTTATGCATAAAAGAACTGGGGTACAGGCCAGAGGTGCAGGAGGTGAGAGGATTCACTAGAGACAGAGTAGGGAACAGAACAGGCCAACTGACTGAAACACACTGCTGAGGGGAGCAGCTGCCAAGACAGAGAGGTCTGCCGTGCCATGTGGGCACCTCCCCCTGCCTGGGACTGCCTCACAGCGCTGTACTACACTCAACCCCTTGTGCCACCAGGGAGGGCCCTGGAATTTTTCATTTCTCAAAACCATTCTTTCCTAATGAATTTGTACAATTTTGTCAGTCATGTAAAAATGAAAAAGATAAAATCAAGATCTCTTAGTTCCTTTTCTTCTCTGAAGAGATGTGGTTGTTCAGATTCCACATTAGTGAGTCACATTAATTTTTCAGTTCCTTCTCTTATCCATGTACTTTCCAATTTTCCTACTTAAAGTTTTCAGAGACTCTTTGTGCTTCTCCTTACTTAGACTCCTTCCTTCGAGCTTTATCTTTTTGAGATATAGATAAGTTAAGAACTTATCTCTCTCATGTTGTTTCATAGGACTTCCCACACAATATTGTATACACAGTACATGACTGCAACGTGACAATGTCTAGAGAATGGCTTTTGTACACATCCATTGCCAAACCAGAATGGAGAAGAATAACAAATGTTCCCACTCTTCAAACTTACCAGATTTTGGGTAGGTAACTATGAAGACATCATCATCTCTGATTTCAAAATCATCTAGATTTTCTAGTTGGTCAATATCACACAAAGAACGTTCAAAATTATAGCCTTTAAAATGTAATAGATACTCATCTGTGTTGTCCATAATTATTCACCTGCAAGTACAAAAAATTAATTCTTTTCATGTCCTCAATGTTTTCTAATAATGACTAGCACTTGCTGAGTATTCAACATGTGCCAAGCTCTGCTAAAATGTCAGCTCATTCCCCATACTAAATACTTGCACCTATGAAATCCTTTAATCGTCACTAAAACCTAATGTGCTAGAGGTATTATTGTTATCCTATGGATGAAGAAACTAAAATGCTAGGAAGTTAAAACTGCTTTCAGAAAACCCCATGAGGGAGGTTTTGTCATGATTCCACACATACAGATGAGGCTGTTAAGGTACAGCAGGCTTCAGGATATTTTCAAGGTCGGCCTGCTAGCAGAGCTAGCAAGATCTGATATAAATTTTACCAGATTCCGAGCCATTAACCTTTGAGCATCAAGTTTCTCTTTTTTTTTTAATTTTTTACGATTTTTTCTATTGCAGTAGAAATAAGAAATTCTTCAATCCACATACTTTGTATTTCTGTTTCTTTAATGAGGTGTTTACTATCTCTGATAGAAGTTTCTGAGGGTTTGATTTGTGATATACAGTTTAAAATTAATTGTGGAATAATTCTGCACCAGTTATACCAAATGGTTTTACTTTGGTAATGTTGCCCTCATCAAGTTGCACAATATTATATATTATATATGTAATGGTTATTATTCTATTATCCAACAGAAGGGTTTTTTTTAAAATCACAAATCTGAAAGAAATATAAGTACAAAGAAAAAATAAAATGAAGAAGCAAGCAGTTCCAAATATATCTGTTCAAAACTTTTGTCCAAGCAACCATTTCTTTATATTAGCTCACCCTAAGAAATCTATTCTTTTTTAAATGTATTTTTATTTTTTATTGAGGTAACAATAGGACTCCCTCATCAGGTTCACTATTGTAGTGCACCCACCACCAAATCACCCATAGTCCACCACCATAGTCCATTGTGCTTCCTTCCCTCAAAAATCTGTTCTTAAATATTAAATATAGGAGTGAATCCCAGAAGTTCATAAATCTATTTGGTTTGAACTAGCATATGTTTCAGTTAAGAATTCTTCAGAAATTGCTGTGTATTCCAAGAAACAACATTAAACCCTTAACAAATAGTTAAACTCATCTGATCAATAGAGGTGTGTCAATGGTTGGAGTTATAATGAACAAGAGTAGAAAATCATTTGTATTAGAACCACCTAGTTTTCTGGGTATATATTCCAGCTTACAATTCATAACAGACTGTTTAAGATTCATAACTAGGATCAGTATTTAACAGACCATTAAGTTCTGAGTTGCTGAGGAATGTGACCTGGAAACTACATTTTAGAAACTCTATCATTCACTCTAAGAAAATTAGAATCAAAGGAATAATAAAGCATTATTTTGGTGTCACAAGAGATTTTTATCTCTACCTCCAGAAAAGCAAGTGTAGGACATCATTTTACTCCCCAAAATGAGCCTATTAAGGCCTTACTACTCTGCTAGAGGTTTCCTCACTGAAAATTGAAGTTCAAGAAACTTCAACTATTGAGAAATGAGGATAAAATAGACTGGTTGAAAAGTTTCAAAGACTAGTCCATCATAGACATAGATGGAGAGTTATTTTGACAATGTCATCACAAATTTTCAGGAAAAGAACTATGAGAAATCAGCTTTAGGAAAGTGGTGAAGGAAAGTTTATACTGTGTGACATGGACAAATGAGGTTGTCTATAAGTAGAAAATAATGTTGAATAAAAGGCTAAAATGAATGTACCACTATCATCCACCTCCTGACCCCCCTCACAAAATGTTACCTACACCCCTCAAATGCCCCAACTCTAGAAATCTGGATGCTGAGAGAAGAGTGACAGACAGCCCACACAAACACTCTGAACATCACCTCTTTCTTTCTGGCTGTTTCTCTGTGATTCTCAGTTACAAGAAGAGAATTATGAGAGCTGCTGTGACACAGAAATAAAAGTGTAGGTGGTGAGGTGGATTCATGAGTATTTGACTTTGGCATGTCTTATATTTCTTGCATCTCCTTGATGGATATTGGAGAAAATGATGAATAAAGAGAATAGACATAGTGCGTGTCCCGTGTAATCTTGCACAGATGTCCAAAAAAAAAAAAGGAGGAAACATAGAAAATGGAAGAGAAAAAATAATTCATTTGTGTGCTGATGAGAAGGTGAGAATGAAGAGTCTGTAAGGCTGCCCTTGTGCTACTTACTGTTGCTGATCCGTAGATGAAGAAAATTCACTTCTAGTATAATTTTAGGAATGATAGGAATTGAGACACTACTGAGAAATAAATACTTAATAAAGAGTTTGTCTTGGCCAAAAGTAGAAATTAGTGGGAGTAAATGTTATTCAAATAAACAGCTTATGCAAGAAATTCTGAGGGGTGTCCCCAGAACTCAGCACACAGTCCAGGTTAGATAAATACATGGGGTAAGATTTTGTTGTTCTTAGGAAAAATATATCAGGTTGTTTCCAAAAGCTCAAAAGTGTTGGAGATAAGAGAACTGCAGGTAGGCATCATATTACTGAACTTTGGCAACTATATTGCTAACAGAAAGCTGTATTTGAGGTTACAACAACCGCTTTCTGGGCATAAAGGATGGTTAGTAAAGTCTTTCCAATCTGTCTCAGTGGACAGGTGTCCATTCCTCTGGTCTTTATTGCACCAATCTATGTAAAGCTGCTACAACTGTGGAAGGTTCCAAGCACTTTATAAACTCAGAGTATTTAAATTCTCTTCACCAAAAGATACAGTTTTCCTTCCCAAGTGATGCCCTTCCATTTCTGCTTTTTCCTTTAAGTAGACATTACAGAAGACTCTGTCTTTTTTTTTTTTTTTAATTTTGCAATATTTAAATTTTCTCAAGTTTGCCCTACCTTCAGTCTTGGACTCTTTATCCCATCTCAGTCATCCACTGCCTGCATAAATTGCTGCTTAATAATGAATTAAGGGTGTCACTAAACATAGAATTTGATCCTAAGGAAGATTTTCAATCCTTTCAATATATAAATCTTCACTGTTAAGTTGCTTAACTAAATGTCATTTAATCTTGTAAAAGCTAAGCCTGACTCTTATTTCACTTGTTTATTAACAAGCCAATCTATTTTGTGTGAGTGGCATAGCATGAAAAGTAGAAATCAGTGGGAGTAAATGTTGTTCAAATAAACAGCTTATGCAAGAAATTCTGATTTCATAACACATTTTCATTGACCTGAAATTTTTGGAGATTTTTGAGATACCTGAGATCTTTTTTTGTGTTCCTTCCTTGTTTAATAATCTTTAATAACACAAAAGTGAAAAAATCCGTTCTGCATCTGTGACCAAGGGAATCTTTTTAGATACTTCAATATTTTTTTTAAGATTTATTTATTTATTTATTTATTTATTTATTTATTTATCTATCTATTTATTTATTTATTTATACAAGCACTGGGTATAGTCAGAAGCACGGGAGGGTGAAAGAATCCACCAGAGCGGGGAGCAAAACAGGCAGACTGATAAAGTACACCGCTGAGGGGAGCAGCGGGTGTGGCAGGAGAGGTCTGTGCACCATGTGGGACCCTCCCCAGTGGCCAGGGATGGAACTGGTGTTGCAGAGGCTGCGGGCAGCTTTGCAACCCAGCACGAAACCACTACGCCACCCGGGAGGTCCCAGTTACTTCAAAATTATACAAAAAAAATTGATATGCTCACCTAAGAACTAAGAATATTATTAACATTTTGCCTTCTTGGAGGTATCCAAAGTTTAGTGAAAATCTTAACTTTCTAAGATTTTTGGATGGGTACCCTGTTCTAATAATGGTCTGTTTAAAATACGAACCAAAGGCAAAAATGGAAAAATGGATGTTAAAGTCCTTGTGTAACTGTGATGCAGTAACTTCTTCCTCTTCCTTACTCCACATGTACAGTTCATTAAAATTTTTTACATCTTTTTTGAGCATTTGGGTTGTTTCCATATCTTAGCTATTGTAAATAGTGCTGCTATAAACATAGGTATGCAGGTGCCATTTGGAATTACTGTTTCGGTGTCATTTGGGTAAATACCTAGGAGTGGAACTGCTGGATCATATGGAAGCTCTATGTTTAGTAGTTCAAGAAATCTCCACACAGCTCTCCGTGGTGGTTGGACCAGTTTGCACTCCCACCAGCAGTGCAGGAGAGTTCCTTTTTCTCCACAACCTCACCAACATTTGTTGTTGCTAGTTTTTTTAATATGTGCCATTCTCACCGGTGTAAGATGGTATCTCATGGTAGTTTTGATTTGCATTTCCCTGATGACAAGTGATGTTGAACATTTTTTCATATGCCTGTTGGCCATTTGCATTTCGTCTTCAGAGAAGTTTCTTTCTAGCTCTTCTGCCCATTTTTTGACTAGATTATTTTCTTTGTTTTTGTTGAGTCTCATCAGCTCTTTGTAGATTTTTGTGATCAGTCCTTTATCATTAGTGTTGTGCGCAATAAACACATGCAGTTTGCAGCAACATGGATGGAGCTAGAAGGGATCATGCTCAGCGAAATAAGACAAAAAGAAAAAGAAAAATACTGGATGGTCTCACTCATAGCAGGAAATTAGAAAACCTAAATAAGAGACCAGGAAAAAGACTAATCAATACAAAGTAATAATCAAAATCAACAAGCAACTATAAACCAGAGAAACACTATTTTGGGGGGAGGAGGGATGGGAAGGGAGAGAAAGAACTAGAGTCAAAATAAGGGGGGGTGCAATGTATAGGGGATATAACCAAAATGAAAATGCATACATTGTGCAAAGATGAAAAATGATGTAAGAATTATATAAAATAAAATATTAAAAAAATTTAAAATTAAAAAAATCTTTTTACATCTTTTAAGAGTTTAAAGAATTGAGTCAATTGGGAACACACCATTTCATATCATTATCAAATTATACAATAACATATTTTCTAGATCTGTCTGCTATGGGACCTAAAAACAATGAAATATAGAGCAATGAGCATGCCAACAGCCAAGATCCTGG